CCAAGTTTAAAACTTCTGTATTTACTGTGTCTGGCTTCTCCTTGTTTGTATGACTCCTGGGTGTCTCCTGCACAGTTTAGTTACATAATGGTATACATACGGAAGGTTGGAAGCCGTAGCAAAACGCGGACCTGTGTGTTTCTTGGAATATTTCCAGTTGTGTGGAAAAACATGTTTTGTAGGCGTTGCAGTATTAAGAGTTAGGTGTCTGCCGCTAATTCCCAGGCGGGACAAGCATACACGCAAGTCATTACTAATCTTATCAGCGCTTTATGGAGGTTTAGTTTAATGTCCATGCTTAAACTCTCGTTTTTGAATGTTAGGTGGAGTCTAATAAATGCTCTGAAGGTCGTGGTTTCAATCATTTATATGTGCAGTCTTCATGTAATCCTCTTTTTGAAGATTACACCAAGTTATTTTATATGATTGACAAAGGGAAAATTCCTTCAATTCAGTGTTAAGATAGCTTCAGGGGGCCAAAAAATGGATTTCTTCTAAATATTCTATACGAATTCATTTCGCACCTCACAGGAAACACATTACCTCTCCCCAGAAAGCTCAACCGGTTAATGCTGTTTAGAGAAACAATCACTGTTTATTGTGGGAACCATACGGAACACACACACACACACATACACTTTGTGGGGAGAACGCGGCGTTTTGGTACGTTGAGTGGTACATATGGAGGACCGCGCCATAGCTCAAGCGGTTAGTCGCTGGCTTCCCACCGCGGCGGCCCGGGTTCGATCCCGGGGTCTGATCAAGTGGGATTTGTGGTGGACAAAGTGGCGCTGGGGTAGGTTTTCTCCGAGTACTTCGGTTTCCCCTGCCAATCTTCATTCCACCAATTGCTCCACAATCGCCCTCACCTATCATCTGGGGCTGGTACAATAGGCCAGAAGTGGCCGCAGTACAAGGGACTTAGTCCCACCCCACTACCTATAAAAAAAAGTAACAAATTGACTTTGAAGGGTTAATGGGCTATTAAAGTAAGAAAAGAAAGGAGAGCAAAGCTGAAAATTCATACTGCCCTTTGTAGTGTAGAGTCATATAGATAAGTAGGCTAATAGTTTGATAATTACTGCGCACTTACGTACGTTAAACAGAAAACTTGCTCCAAAACGTAAATTTTAATATTCCTAGACATTCTGTTATCAGCACGTTCTAGTTATCTAGAATGTTATATGCACTCGATTTTGGTATTTTTGTTTGAATTTTTTTTCCTTGGCACTACTGCCCCAGTGGGCCTAGGCCTACCTCCATAAACTTCTCCGTTCACTTCGGTTTTTCTAGATCTTACACATTCGGTAGGACTCCTTGGGCGGGTGATCAGTTCATCGCAAGGCCTCTACCTGTACACAAACACAAAAGAACACACACAAACTAAACATCTATGCCCTGAGTGGGATTCGAATCCACGATCCAAGTTTCAAGCGAGCGAAGACAGTACATGCCTTACACCGCTCGGCTACCGTGACCGGCTTGAGATTTTATTACAGATCCCAATTCGAAATTTAATCGAAATCTGTTCAGTATTTTCTGTATGCAAAGAATGTATTTATTTATGTTTCTTTAGCGACGCCCTCAGTTGCTCAAATTATATAGATTTTTAATCTCGGATATGTAAAAATTTGAAGAGATCTTGAAGGAAAGGGTTACCTCCCATTTTAAGGTATTATTTTGGAATTATCATGGAGGAACTGAGGTAAAACCACGAAAAACCTGAGTCAGGATATTCTGCTTCCGGCGAGATTCGAACTGGTTAACTCCTGAAGCTAAGACAGAAGCTTAACGCGTATGAAAACTTCTCGCTAGGAACAGGTATGAATGAGGCCGATGCCTGGATATTGTTTGCCATTGTAACTCATGCGTTGCTGCCACGAAAATGCTTAGGTTTCTTTTAAAATTGTTTAAATTCGCTTAGTGGGGGGTGGAGTCCAGCTGGGTCCACTCGGCACGGCGGCCACTGATTGGCCTAATGTAGCCTGCCCCGGGTGATTATGATGATGGAGAATTTGGTGGAATGAAGATTGGTAGGGGAAACCGAAGTACTTGGAGACAACCTGCCTCAGCGCCACTTTGTCCACCACAAATCCCACTTTACCAGACCCGGGATTGAACCCGGGCCGCCGCGATGGGAAACCAGCGACTAACCGGTTGAGCTATGGCGCGGCCTAAATGCTTAGTTTTTTTTTTTCATTGGCGCTAAAGCCCTCATTTGGGCCTAGGCCTACCTCAATGAAACTCTCCCTTCACTTAGGTTTTACCAGATCATAGACATACGGTAGGACTCCTTGGGCGGGTGATCAGCTCGTCGTAAAGCCTCTACCTGTACACAAACACAGAAAAACGCAGACAAACATCCATGCCCTGAGTGGCATCCGAACCCACGATCCCGGCTTCCAAGCGAACGATGACAGTGCATGCCTTAGACCGCTCGGCTGCCGTGACCGGCCCAATGCTTAGGTTAGACTCTGATATCTTAAGCGGCGACCTGGTTCAATATGAGGTCAGTTTACATGGGATTTGCGGTGGACAAAGTGGCGCTGGGGCAGGTTTTCTCCGAGTACTTCGGTTTCCCCTGCCAATCTTCATTCCACCAATTGCTCCACAATCACCCTCACCTATCATCTGGGGCTGGTACAATAGGCCAGAAGNTGAAGAAAGCAGTCTTCTGGGATTTGGCACCTTGTATATGTGGTGTTAACTGAAACGTCGGTTAACACCACATATACACGGTGCCAAATCCCAGAAGACTGCTTTCTTCGGATGAATCTAGTTCATACCATCCCATCGTATTTTTTTAAGATATATTTTATTATTACACTCCCACCCACGTCTGGATCTTGATATCCTTAATAATAATAATAATAATAATAATAATACGAATAATAATTCAGTCCAATTAGTGTTTAAATAATACGAGGAATAATGATACTAGCAGCAACTATGTACGTTGTTTATAACCGACACTGGATTTTACTGTGGCGCATAGACCCGTGTCTAGGCAGCGACCGCAAAACAAACAACGAAACAACACTCGCTGTCAGACAACATATATTAATAAGCAAGAACAGCATTCGCTGTTAGGAAACGGCTTGATAAACATTTTCCCGCGGAAATGGATACGCGTGCAACAATGGGTTTTCTCTGGTGGTCCATGCCGAGGGTTTATAAGGAAAACAAATTGGGCAATCAAGTCAGTTCTGTACGAGAATCTGTGAAGAAAAGAGGCAGTTTGAAGGGAACCTCCGTCCAGAAAGATTACTTGAGCCTGGAAGCAGAAGACTAGTCATTGTTAGAAGACGTTACCAGGCAACTACTAGTGAAGACAACGTATGCTGGAAAACAGCGTCAGTTTGTAAATTGTGGAAATAGCGATAGTAATTTGATTTGTCTCATTCTGGTCCGTCACACTACTATTTACAAAGTAGATAACTTTCAGTCCAGAATGATATACAGGTTTACAACACTTCAGTCTTTATTCACCTTACATGTTTCGATTCAAAAGAATCATCTTCAGAGGCGCACCACTACGAGCAGGAAACACTGTCACATAAGTTGTTTTAACATTATGCTCTTAGGTTATGAATAGTGCTCACTATATCACAGTTTGCCCTGTGCAGCCACGTTGACGTGTAGATTTACATATGATGTCTCTTTTAAGCGTATTTGCTGGGTATTCGATTGGGGTTTCCCACTGCACGCAATGTGATGTTCACTTTTCCATAAAATAGCTTCCCTAGGTATTTAAAATTGTATTAAAAATCTTTTGTATGTAAAAAATTAGTTATTATGTTAAAACTCGTGAGCCAGCATTGGGTCATGTTGTTTTTCCTTCCGGATGGTAGAAGATGTCGGTTATTTCTCTTGGTTGTATGTTCTTATTGTTAGTTGTGTAGTTTACGTGCGTGCTGTGTCGTATGTACATACAACCAAGATAAATAATCGACATCTTCTACCATCCTGAGGAAAAAACAACATGACCCAATGCTGGTTCACGATTTTTAACAAAATAACTAATTTTTTACATGCAAAAGAGTTTTAATACAATTTTAAATACATAGGGAAGCTATTTTATGGAAAAGTGAACATCACATTGCGTGCAGTGGAAACCCCAATCGAACACCCAGCAAATACGCTTAAAAGAGACACCATACGTAAATCTACACGTCAACATGGCTGCATAGGGCAAACTGTGATGTAGTGAGCACTATTCATAACCTAAGTGCATAATGTTAAAACATCTTATGTGACAGTGTTTCCTGCTCGTAGTGGTGCGCCTCTGAAGATGATTCTTTCGAATCGAAACATGTAAGGTGAATAAAGACTGAAGTGTTGTAAACCTGTATGTCACACTGGACTGAAAGTTATCTACTTTGTAAATAGCGATAGGGTTACAGTTATTTATAGTTGCGACCTGTTAAGTGGTCGATGCATCCAATTTGCAATCCAAATCCTCGTCTATTGTCACTGTATACTACGTGGCAGTGTGTTTCTTGTTTCTTGCCCATTCATTCATTCATTCATTTATTCATTCATTCATTCGTTCAACAATTACACTACAGCCCTTTGCTAGGCCCTGGCCTCTTCTTCAGTTTCGTAATTTTTTTACACACGGTAGGACTCCTTGGACGGGGGATCAGCCCGTCGCAAGGCCCCTACCTGCACACATGACAACACAAACAAAATAAACGCATACACCGACTTTATGCCTTGTGAGATTCGAACCCACGATCCCAGCGTTCGAGTGAGCGACCACAGTTCATGCCCCAGACCGCGCGGCCACTGTGATCGACGTTTCTTGCCGATAGCTACCAACAATCCCAATAATAATAACAATAATAAAAGCTCCATATTGGATACAGGGCGTTTTATAATGTAGCCGTACCACACTGTTTCAATAGCTCATTTGTACTAGGAAACAAAGAAGCATCACAGTATTTTGTGATTGCTTCTTCGTAACGTCGATTCACTGTACAATTACGAATACTGCTTACCAGTTATCCACGAACTTCTAGTGCTTATTGCGGCTAGTCACTCCACAAACTGGCGAGAACTCGGGCTGTATTGTTATACCCTTACCACTTGCAGTTTATCGCTTTATCAGGGCACGTAAGGAAAACCCGGAGTACATAAACGCAATGAGAACGCAACCTTCAACTCATTTATGAAGCTCATAATCTAAATGTGTCATTGTTTTCGTTTTCATAAACGCCACGAAGAAATATGTCCATTAAGTTGTTTTGAAAATGTGATAATTGATTTAATGTTATAAAATGAAATGACAAACGCGCGGTTAGACAGGGGGAGGGGGGGTCCACTACAGGCCCACGCTTCTGCATAAAAGCTGAAGACTGAAGTTTCATAAGCTGTACTCTTCTCCAAGTATAATTAGAATGATTAAGTCATGGAGGATGAGGTATACAGGACATATAGCATGAATGGGGAACTCATATAGGATATTGGTGGGAAATGCAGAAGGAAACACACCACTCGGAAGACCAAAGCGTAGGTGGATGGACAATATTAAAATGGGTCTTAGAGGGATAGAATGGGATGGTATTGATTTGATTGATCTGGCTCGTGATAGGGACCAGTGGAGGGCTCTTGTGAACACTGTAATGAACCTTCAGGTTCCATAAAATGCTGGAAAGTTCTTGAATAGCTGCATAATTGGCGGCTCCTCAAGAAGGGCTCAGTTCCGTGAGTGAATGATTGAAGTAAGCTGAAACCTGATGTTTCCTTTATCGGCTTCATGAGTAACCGTAAGGGAGCTTGCAGTATTTTTGCTAATACACGACTACAATTCTTCCTTCTCGTAGATGTAACACGTTTCCTTGAGAGTTCTGACGTCTCTGACGTGGATATGGAAGTTAAAAGTACATGTCGTGTTCCATTCTTTGGGAGGCCGCATTCGTAAAGGGCACATATTGAAATTGACGTAAATTTCGTTCCACACGGATGTCAGTGAAACAGATGGACAAGTTGTACAAACAGTTACACGTATAAATTACCCCGATAAGACAACACTGATAGGTAATTAATTGCTGATGCATGTGTTTCATATTCGTGAACTTAAATTAGGTCGTCACTGAAAACTGTCGAGGTGAATTTTAATGAATGAATGAACATATTCAGTTGCCTTAACAGGCTCAGAAAGCGCATTATCGTTTAAACCACAATTGAATCTACCCCAGTACAGTTGTCATTACCAAAACCTCCCCATTTTATTTTTATCCTGGCTTTCGAAATGGTCACTTCCCACGATTATTCCTAACCAAAATTTTGTTCGCTTGTACTTCATGATACACAGTTCATAGGGCTCTCTATCTATATATCTATCTGTCTGTCTGTCTGTCCGTCCGTCCATCTATTCCTGTTGCCCCACTTGGAACATAGGGCATCCATGAAACGCTTTGTTTCACTTCAATTTCTTAATCTTAGACAGTCGGTAGGACTCCTTGGCAGGGGGATCAGCCTGTTACAAGGCCTCTAGCTGACACAAATATAGAATAAACGCAGACAAACATCCATGCCTTGAGCGGGATTCGAACCCACGATTCCAGCGTTCGAGGCGGCGAAGACATCTCATGCCTTAGACGGCGCGGCCACTGTGATAGGCTCAAATAGGTTTATATTCGTATTCCTTCTCTGGTCTCTTTCCCGTTACAATTAATCTGGAGCTAGAAATCTTATAGACAGTTGGTAGGAATCCCTGGACGGGGGATCAGCCTTGTCGCAAGGCCGTTACCTCCACAGGACAGCGCAAACGCGGAAGAAACGCGTACAGACATCCATGCCTCGATTGGGATTAGAACCCAAGATCTCAGTGTGTGGGTGGGCCAAGACATTTCATGCCTCGGACCGCGCGGCCATTGAGATCGACGCTTCTCTGCGTAACTGACGTAATTACAGTAGGCCTCGTCAAAGCATGTAGTAAGCGGCCTCATGACTCAAGGTACGCGGATTCAAACCTGGCGGAGGTCGTGGAATTTTTAATTCCAGGGAACAAGACCTCCGGGAGAGACTTTAAGCCGTGGGTCCCGTGTCGTAGATTTACGGCACGTAAAAGAACCTCATGTCTCTAGGAGACCTCTGAGCTAAATTAGGCAAATTTTACCGCCCAAGTAGTTTCCAATGCCTCCGGTAGATGGGGAAAGTGTTAGGTACCACTGCCAGATGAGGACCGAAACCTCGCTGACAGAAAGGGACTTATTATCAGATACCACTGCCTGTAGAGGGCCGACCTCGCTGGCAGAAAGGGGCTGATAGCGGGCACCAGTACCGGTAGGATATGGAGACAGTATAAATTAAAGGGGGACGCACAATGGACCAATAACTGGTCTAAGTGCATGGGGAAACAACCTCTTCCAACAATGAATGAATGAAGCATGTAGTAATTTTATGCGAAATTTGAGGTTTTCACGGCCGTGATAATCAAGTCTCTTAGAATATAGACAGACAGCAGCATTTTGAAGGAACCTGATGCTTTCTTGTTCAGAGTAGAAGGTAGTGGATGGCTGATACCTGGCAACTAAACCGCGCAGTATGGAGTCTGGAAGGAAACCTAAAATAATTTGAATGAATGTTATCCTGTGTTTAGAGGTCTTGCGACGGGCTGATCCCACGCCCAAGGAGTCCTACCGTCTGTGTAAAAAGATTACAGAACTGAAGAAGAGGCCAGGGCTCAACAAAGGGCCATTGATGAATGAAATGAACTTCATGAATAATACATTGTATCTCCATTACAAATACTGGCTAGTTAATGCTGTGCAGGGAAATACCCAGTCGCTGTTTATTGTGACAGTCTTAAGAAGCGCGCGCACACACAAAGAATTCCGTGGTTTTAGTCCGCAAGCGAACTATACCGACCGAGCGACTGCCACTTGTCGGCGAAGTTAGTGCCAACTTTACCTGATAGAGGGGTGTCGCGTGGTCAGCGCAACGAATCCCCACGATTGTTAGTCCAGGTTTTCTAGACCGGAGCCGCTATTTCCTTGGAATAGCTCCTCAGTTATCCTCACGATGCTGAGTGGACCCGGTTCCAGACCCATTACTTCTCAGAAAATCTGGTAGTGCCGGGAATCGATCTCGGGCGTGAGGATCTGTAGCCAGGAAATCTGACCACTAGACCACAGAGGCGGTCGAAGCGCTCACACAAAACGTGGAGATCGTCAATATTGAAATATATGGTATATATGTATAGTAATCATTGTTCGTTGAAGTCCTGACACTCTGCGTATTTTGGAGGTCCTCACTTCAGTTCATTTCATGGACATAGAATGTCTTGACTGTTTTGTGTTTTTAATTATCCCCCCATTAACATGTTTTGATAGTACCTAAAATAGGCCACGACCGCTTCCTTCTACATCTTTTTTTTCAAAACATTATGACTAGTATAATTTACTCAGTCGACAAAGTGGAAAAGGCGTGTGGGATGTCGTATGAATGAAGAGACAACCACTAGTTGAACTGTCCTATAGGATTTATTGCAGCTGCACAGTATACACAGACGGATAACAACAATAGTGAACTGCTTGAACACTGAACTGGTATTGTAGAACGGTAGAACTGTAACTGTAACTCAGTGTATCTTCTTATGTAGCCTGGAGTCGGACATATAGAAAACGGTTACGTAATATGTACTGCTGTTGCCAGATACCGTGTTTACAAGTTCCCTAGCAACCGCTGTTTACTCGCTTTTGCCTAGCAACCGTTGTTTACTCGTTGTTGCTAAGCAATGACGCTTGCGTGGTCACACTTGCTTGAATGTGGGCAGTTCCCACAGTTGCATGCATAAAATGTGTACACGCAATGAGTGTTTTCCTCCATTACGCCAGACAGATTTGTCTGTCAGTGTTTCAGAATACACCACGAGTGATTTGTGTCGATCTCTTCCCTACTCGCCGTCCTCAGTCTTACGAAGTTGAGAAGAAACTGTTGGAGGTCCTTCACAATTCATTAAACCTTTTCCACATGGTTTTCAAACTGTCCTTTTTTTCCCTGTAGTCTATAAGTTCCACGTGTTTCATCATCAGTGATGTATAGTTGTTCTGCGAATATTATATCGATATATGTTGTATCTAGGAAATGTGCACACTGTGGGTCGTGAGCAGCATGTGGCCGTTTATATTGCGGGTCGCAAAAAAGTAATTAATCTCCCTTTTTACAAACGAGTTGAATGCAGAAAATCTCTAGCGCGAAGAGCCAGTTTCTAGTCACGGGAGCTATTGTATCGACGTCTGGTTGTTAATCACGGGCTTCTGAAAATTGTCATATGGGGCTCTAACCTTCATATAGCAACGAATGGTGGGATAGTAGATGGATGTTGACATGGGAAAGATTTGAAAGGAAGTATTCGAAGCCTAATTGAGTTCCTACTCCTGAATTTTCCTGAAGGAACTGACGAAAATAGCGATAAACTTCAGTCATGATAGCTGGTACCCCGGCGTTATGCCATGGAGGCGTATGTGGGAGTGACGGCGTAGCTCCAATATTCTTGACGTAGGCACGAGATGGAGCTTCATGTCCCGGCCGCTTACCCCCGGGCAAAGAACCCTCGGTATCCATTGGAGAGGAGGCTGGGTGGGTACCACAGCCGGTCTTGATGCTATGGAAAATATTAAAGTTATTTTCCTCTGTCAGGAATTGAACCCCGCTCGTTCCGCCCGTGACCTAGTTACTGCACAGACTGAGTTATCTGGCTAACATTTATCTGCTTATTACGGACGCGTCAGGAGTTAGGGCGAAGGTGTATGTGGGCGGGACTGGAGATTGCCTGTGCGCACGCGCCGGGTGCTGCTACTAACAGTTCCACCTTACGTCACCCATGTTTTGTGTGTTTGCGTATATAACTAGTGAGTTATTTTTACTAGTACTCTGTTTGTTAAGTTGTGGGCGATGTCGGCACAAAGGAAGCGTGTATTAGCAGTTCGCAGTATTTATATCTGATTTCGTCCCCCCTGTAATACAGATATTTGAACCAATGTTTTCAGGATAGAGTGTAGCGTAAAGGTCTGCCCGACCCGTCTGGAAGTCACCTGCGACTTTTTGTGGCGCGCTCATGATAG